TTTTACATGCAACTCTTAACTGAAATAATATTAAAATTCAAAGCTAAGGATGGAAATAGTTACGTATGATATAACTATTCAACATTACTGAGGTGTTGTTTCTAAATCAATGGCTGCAGTATATTATGTGAGGGATACACAAATTCCTTAACCCATTGTTCAGATGCTGCTGTAGTCATAGGAGTTATCCTGATGAATGAAGTGCAACATATGAAAGCAGATGCTGGAAAGAAACGAAGTAAGTACCAGTCCTGTGAAAATGTGTCATGGGTGAAAATCAAGCTTATATGATTTTTTCCATAATTCTTCGGAATCTATATTCTTTATTTTGTTTCAGTCTAAAACATGTTCAAATCTAATTTGTAATGATATTCCAGCTTGTAAGTCATCATAAACAGAAATATCCTGATTGAATCTAATTGAATGTTGTTAAAAGTCACAGTTGCACCAGAAAAATTGCAGCTTTTTATATTCTGGTCTTATAAGAAATATTCAAGACATTGACAAAAGGTCTAAAGATAAGGTTTAAGTCTTATACTAGTATGTAAATTTTTTCCAGTTCTAGCTCTGGTTGGTCTAGGTGTGGTAGTGCTGTTCTTCAGTTTGTTGTTGTCAGTATTTAGACAAAAATATCAAGGTTATCCATACAGGTGAGGAGATTTCATCTTTGATTTTTTCACACAGGAACGCACACACAAACTGTCATGTTTTTACTCAACATCAGTTCTTAATTTGTTAAAAGAAAAATAAAGGACACATGAAAACAGGTTGTGATATACATTGATGAAATAATTTGAAAACTTAACACGTTCATTAATTGGTGCTCTTTTCTTTCATAAATCAAATTTTTAAAATTAACAATCATTTTTTTCTTTCAGTTTCCTGATCAAGTAATGGCATTCACAGAAACATCTATTTAAAGTCCAAGCAAGAAAAGATGACTGTTGAAATTACAAAAGTGATGAAAATTTGATTGCACATCTCACAGTTGAACAATGGCTTTCCCACATTTAATAATATTTGTACGGGTGAGATTCCTAGATATTCGAGGAAGATTTGTCACAGTGCAGTCAACTAAAAACTGATTTCTGTAACTAATAAAATACTTTTTTTAACAAACTACTTTTCTGATATTTTCATTTTCATTAAAACATGATTATTTTGTGATTTTTACTCTCAAAGCCTCAGTTCAACACAAGAAATATTCTTACAATCTTTTACAAGACATGGACGTATTTCACATGAAAACTCAAACCAAAAATCAGTCAACCAAGACTGATATCTATCTTTGGTAGCCAACGTACTGCTTATCTTTTTACTTTAAAAAACTAATGTAATAACCCGAGAGTAAATAGTGACTGTCTTGAGAATGATTTTTACTCACAGTGGGGTTAGTTCAACTAGATGTTTATTGTGGGCCAGTGCTTCATTAGGCACTCTTGCAAAGTTGAAAAGGCATCTAGTTGGTTAAAAAGAGTAAAGCAAACTTGGCTGAGACAAAATTTTTGATTCAAATTATGAAATGAACCTATGCTAATGATAAACTGCTTGTCAATTAAGCTCATTAAATCAACAAATAAAGAGTAAAAAGAAACTAACGGCTTCTATGTTTGACAATTAATGGACTTCTGCGGGATCTTTGTGGTCAGGCATACTTGGAACTGCCAGTTTTTGGTCGAGTGATATTTAGTTTACTATACAAGCTATGCTATTTTACCACAAATAATTGATTTTTTCTTAAGGAATAAAAAACCCAAAACTTTAGAAAAAAAATGTGGCATTTCACTGCAAAATTTTTTTGATCCCCCTTGAGAGAAGTTTTGGGTAAAGGGGAGAGGTGCATATGTTTGTGTTCCTTCTCCTCAAGATGCACTTTTAGAGTCCATTAGCTCCAGCAGCTTGTTATGCAAGTTAATCATTGCCTCATTAAGGAGTAAAAGAAACATATCAATGAAACATTGCATTGTAGTTCAGTAGGGGGATTCTAAAAAGAGGCCGTTTAAATTTTTGAAAATTGAAAAGGTCATATCCTTACAGTGCCAGATAAGCCAGGATTTAGCTAATCCCATTCTGAAAAACCGTGGATCTAAAAACCATTATTATTTAACCTTGTAAGCTTATCCATGTTATACGCTGTCTTTCCAGTTGAATAATATATAGATTTGAGCAGGTCTCTATTATGGCCAGTGTCGGAATGGAGAGTACCTGTAGCTACCTCAGGGCAGCGATAAGCTGATAATTGACTGTCAGCGAAGGACCCAGTATATGTTCAATTACGGGGTAGATTGAGTCCTTTATATATTTAATCTGTAATACAGAGACCAGTTATTGTTTGGGCTCACTGTTACGTGTTACTGGTAGGGGAGGTGCATACCGTGAATTTCAGTTGTATTTGAAGGTATTTTGGTTTGAATTTTGGGGTCTATAAGGGTTAAGAGGCTTTACTGGAGAGTAATAGTTTATATGGGACTGCCTGGCAGGGCAAAGAACAAGGAATAGGAGTAAAATCTTTTTTTTTTTTTTTCTTTTACATGTCCTTATCAAAATTTTGTCTCTGATTTGCAATAGAATTTTCTTTATTAAATACATTCAGATTTGAAAAACTTTTCAAAACAAAATCAACAACAAAAATATTAATCCAATACAAATAAGTGGCAAGAAAGGAGTAGCCTGTACCAGGGTCACAGATTGATTTTTCACAATATCTTCACAGATAAGTCTCTGGCATATTTATGACATAAATGACTGCTGTATAAAAGTGTACATAACTAATATGTGGCTCTGGTAAGAAGTAAGAAAGGAGAGATCAAAAGTTTTTTTGGAAATATTGAATATCTTTAAATAATTATATAGGCAGTCTTTTTAGACAATAAAAATGGGAAAAGGTGTGAAAGGACGGGCCTGTAGCCAGGGGGGTCGGGGGGTTTGAAAGAACCACCCTTTTTGCTGGTAAAAGGTCCACTCTAGGTAAAATTTGACCTATGTACTTGGGGATTTTCTGGTAAAAGGTCCACTTTTTCAGAAAACGACCCCCCCCCCCCCCCTCTGAAATTGCTGGCTATGGGCCTGAAGGGGTTCCCAAAGGGGTTCTGCATGACCACCAATGAAGTCAGTTCTGCATTTTAACCTTAGATTTTAAATTTTGTGTTACTTTTGCAAATAACTTAATCAGATAAAAGGGTGGCACTTCCTCATAAGGTCATGCTGAAAGAGGAAAGATCTTAATTAAACATCAATGGTGTGAGAATAAAAGATATACAGGTGTAAATGTACACAATTCAATTGGCATAATCTGAAATTGGAGATAAAAAGTGTGAAGAGATTTGTGTCATTGTTGAAAATTTGACAGCACAAACCAAACATTAAGATATTTCAAACATTTCTTTGGCTATGCCAAAAATTCTGCAAAAGAAAGAAAAAAAAACTTCACTTTGTTTGGCAAATATGAAGAAGACTTGTACGTACAATTTTACTTTAATAAATTGTTGGACAAAAATTGTTTCAGAAAATTGCTTGCTTTCTCTCTAGTATACTGTTTTCTTTGAGAAGGTGAAGGGGTGACATCCAAAGTTAAGGGGTGAATGGGGCATAGTTGGCCATTGAAAGGTTAAATTCATAAGTTGTTTTTCTGCAGGAAATCAGTTTTAAGTGATTTAAAATATATATTACCATGGTGTAAGCAATACAAACAACCAGCTTTCTCAGGGTGGTTGACCACATGCTGTGGACTTAGTTTGATAAAAAGCATTCGGTGTCCATCATGCCATTCAAATATGTACATCCAAGGGTGAAGCACCTTACTTTTCAGGGGCGGATTTAGGCTGTCTTCTGGGTCTTCCAGAAGACGGTCAGATTTTCAAGTTTACATTGACGGGTATCTATCTTTTTCTGGTGGAAGACGGTCAAAAATGGAAGATGGATCAACAAAGATAATTTGGAAGACTGTCAGAAAATAACTCTGGATCCGCCCCTGCTTTTTACCTCTGTTCATGTTGTGCTTTTGACAAAGGGCTACCTTTTAATCTGGTGAAAAAGTAAAAATGACTTTAAAAAAAAAAAGTAAGGCGGGTTGACCAAATGGCTAAATCTGGGGTCTCATTTCTTATATTTAAACCAGTGACCCATGTCTATGTCTAAAGAGTTAATGGGTGAAACAGACTAAATCACACTCAATGTTTCCTTTGTAATTACTACATTAAAAAAAAAAAAAGCATGATCAATAGGTCTCAAATACTATAACTTAGATTTTTTCTTTGATAATGGAAATTATATCTATTACTAATATAAGAAGAACAATTTTTGCATTGACAAAGCAAGTATCTACAGTTAAGTGATTTAATTTACAAGGTACACTACAAGCATAGTTATGTTATTAATAGATACATTATTAAATAAGTTTACAGTTCACTCTTAAAAGAGAACAAAATAAGTTGAACTCTTTTGGTCTGTATAGAATCTGATGAATAAACTATTAAATCAGAATTTCTATAATTTTCATCTTACGCAGTTCAAAACTTGATTTTCCATGCAATAACTTTATTTCCTCTACCTGAATTAATCAAGTCCTGCAAAACTATAGAATATTTACACAGAGTATTAATTAGGTAACTTAAAGGTAGTGATTACAGACACAGTGGCTAGCCCCCATCCTACTGAGCCCCCATTGTTCAGCGGCTGGGCAGCTGTCAGGCCATTCAGCCTTCTATTTACTCAACTTGTACCTTCAACCACAGAGCTCTGGGATGTGAAAAACACCTGTCACAAATATTTCAAAGGGGCTTTTTTATGTCATCTTTTTCCTCTCGAGTCCAAAAATATTGAATTCATTTGACAGTATAAAGCAGGAAAATTAAAAGAGTTAAATGGTGTCTTTTATGCTTGAGACTTAATGGTGAAAGATATGAGGGACATCTGTAGTAAGGGGCTCAGTTAGATTGGTCACAGCTGCAGCGGCAGATTTGAATCTGGAGGTTCATTGTCACATCAACAAGAGAGGAAGACAGGTACTGGTAGTGCAGGAAGCTGGTATCACAGAATATTATAGACATTTTGGACCTCTGACTTCCACCATTCTTCTAGCCACAGTGTTAAACTGGAAAAGATACCCTTGAAAGGTTTGTACCACATGAACTTTCATGTTTGCACAGTTTATTTAATAATGGAAATATATCATAGATACGATAAAATATATTTCCATGATGTGATGTAGTATTATTTCTTTTTTGCAGGGTAAGAAACTTCACTGTTAAATTATTTTTTTGGCTTAGTTAATTAGTGACAAGAAATTTTAAAAGACAAGTAATACAATTCTTATTTAAGATGTTCTGAATAAAAAATTAACACTTTTGATAACAAGAAAGAGCTAGCCTAAGGAATAAGTTAAAAGTAAAAGCATCTTGGATGATTTTATGTCAAACTTATTTGCATTCTTTTATCTGATAATGAACCATATATATTTAGTCATCAATATTATCTTTTCATTCCGATATTTTGGAGTTCAAATTCATAAGAGTTCAATGATTTGGATAAATATCTACTGTCATGATGTTCTTGAAGTTTTATTTTACTATATTAACACATTGATGATGGAAAAAATGACTGGTGTGCATTGTAGTCTAGTAAGTCTAGTAAGTCTAGTAAGTCTTAAAGCACTCTCATAGGCATTGTAGTTTAAATACATAAAAAGAAATCTTTCAAGCAAAAAAGACAGTACCAGATTTTGACACATAAATTAGTTTTATGATACAGCGTTGATATTATGTACAGCGTATATTGAATCTGTTGCAAACTCTGAAATGCACCAGACACCCAAGTTATGTTCCTCCCTTGTTGAAACAGGGAAATTTTTCACAGGATTACCCAATTCAAAATGTAACCATATTGCAGTAATACGAGCTTAAAGGGAATGTCTAATAGAGGGATAAGTCTCACTGAATGATGTTTTGATAGAAAGATATCTTGATAGTATACCATGTTTGCACTGTGTAAAGAAATATGTCCTGGCCACTCTCTTGCTGTTTAGTCTTGTTTCACAAACTGCATCACTGCAGGAATGGTTAAGGCTCCTGGAGGTTGATGAGATTTAGCCAAATAATGATACTGGGGGATTGATAGCTGGGAATGTTCAAGCAAATCAGGGAACCAAGATAATGCTGAAGTTTTTTTTTTTTTTTCGGCTGATCCAATTTTGTCACATTCTTTTTTGTATGAAACTTTTTCACGTTGATGGAATTTCAAGTTGCCCTCTCTACATACAGGTAAATGGTTGCTACTGCTATTGTACTTGAGATATCCTTTAAATTAAATATATACAACATTAAGGGTTAATACCCTTTGAAAATACACTGTGAGTGTAGATTTAATTTTTATCTTGAAGTTTAGAAAAATGGACCACAAGGGTTACGTAGTATTTGATCACTGTAATTGTTTGGCATTGGTGTTCACAATGTAAAAAGAGCTCATTACTTTCCTCCTGCCAATTAACAGTAGGGTTGATCACAGGTGATTACAGGTAATTAGATAGAACACTGAAATCAGTTAATACTGGCCAAACAGGAAATAAAGGTGTCAATTTATGAACCTTTAATTTATTCTGTTCTTATAGATGATAGCATCTACTCTGTTTCACTTGACTGGTATGTTGTTTTTCCAGTATTTAAGTATCTTGAGCAACTCAAAATATTTTTTCTGTAAGTTAAGTATATTTTTCTTTTTGTATCAGAGATATCATGTAAATTATCAGGTATATAAATTTTTATTTATTGTCAAAATTATGTTTCTTTAGATTTTTCTTCATTAGGTTTAATCAGTCACATTTTCATTCAAAGTATATTATATATTCCCTGCAGTGTGCTAAATATAAAGTTGTACAGTGACGATCATTGACACCTGCATATTCCTGGCCAGGTGCTTAGAACAATATACAGGTAGCATATCATCATTTATCAACTACCTGTTCAGTTTAAGGTAAAAACTTGTGTTAGTTCTGACTGAAATCATTTAATATAACCATATTTTGATCACATGTGCAATGCTCAGCATCAAAGACTGTGTGCATGTACACTGAAATATCCAATCTGTCAAGAAAGGTTTACATACCAGTAAGGACAGTAAGTTGATTTTCTTGTCTCTCTGCCTAAAAGCCTTGGGTTATCTCTTACTTCTGTGGTCAATTTGCATAGAAGTTCTGTTTTTTTTTTTTAATAATTATACATATAACCCTGTTGAGAGAGAGAGAGAGAGAGAGCACATGCCAAGGGATAAATCATGAAAATTTGATTTTCTTCAATAAGTCTTATAATTCACTTATGATCTATCATGAATAATGAAGACTGAACTGTCTATTTATTGACCGATCTTTGCTCATGTCTTTGTTTATTTTTGCGTAAGATTAACTTTTCTCTAACATAATATGTCTGTTTACATAATATTTGTGAATGCTTCTCACAACATGGTTAGACTGGTCAAAGTCGGCACATGGCTTAAGCCAGTTGTCCATAATAAACTGTCCCGACTGGACTTAGTGGTCATCTTTGTTGACTGAACCAGGATGATCTGGTCATTAGTGAATGCTGCAGACTGGATTAAGTATTTACTTAACAGCAGTAGTCAATAACTGGTGAATGTAAGAGGTAAATCCTGTCTTACTTTTGAAATCAATAGCTGTTGATGTGAAGAAATAATTAGGCTATGAGAAATTGTAGTGGTCCGCCTGTTTTCCAGGCTCAACAAACTTGAGACACTATTTTTTTATGTAGCATATAGAATATAATTCTTTTACATAGATATACAGGCCTGTAGCCAGGAGGGGTTGGGGTTCAAAAGAACTGCCCCTTTTAATAGGAAAAGGTCCAATCTAGGTAAAATTTGATCATGGTACAAGAAGTTTTTATAGTAAAAAGTCCACTTTTTTCAGAAAAGAACTTTCACCCAATCATTTGGAATTGCTGGATTAGGGGCCTGATATAAAACTTTTTTAACTTGACAGACAAAAGTCACTTTTATTGCGCATTTAGTTTCTTTTTCACCATTAAACATATTTTTTAATGTTTTTAAATTACAAATCTAGATTCCTTTGTTGGTAGGCCATTATTATTATTTTATTTTTATTTTTTGCAATATTCTTATTTATATAAAAAACACCCATTCCATTGTTTCTCCTCTAACAGAATAATAGATTCTCAGAGGTGATCTATTTCTGTTTTGTTGCAGAAAGGTGGAATTACTGAAGGATGTGATATTATCATAGTGCCTAGGACATTGCAACAGTAGTGGTAGCCAGGCTTCAAAATGTATCAAGTAGATGAAATAGAACGTCCCTACTTGGAGCTTGTGGAGAGAGATATGGTTTGGTCTGGGAAAGAAAACCAGCCAGTTTATCAACTTTATAAAGGTTAGTTCCTGGTTAAGTAAATTTTATTGTTGAGAGAAAAGTCTCCCAAAATTCAGATTACTGGATTTTTGTAAAGAATTATTAAAAGGACAACAAACTAAAAATGTATCGTTTATGCTTTTAAAACAATTTATGTCATTTCCTAAGATTGTGGTCCATTTTCTTTTCATCTACTGTAGGTCATATTTTTACTGAACCTTTACCTTGAAATATCTCAGTCATTTAGAAACTATATTTTCCTTATTCTCTTTTGCAGGAAAAGTAAAGTTGTCAGTGTACATGAATTGTGGTCTCCTGACTATACATGGTAAGTTAACAAGAGGATATTGTTGAACTGAAGTACCGTAAAGAAAGTTATGCACATTATAATTTTGATTATTTATTGTATTACAGACATATTAAATCAAATGTACTAGTAAACCATCATCAGAGTTTGTCCAAACAAGCTTATGAACTTTCTAGTTACCAATTTAAAAATCTTTATTTTGTTTTTAACTTGCTGAGGTAATTTATAATACCACCATTTTCAGTTCTTATTTGCAGGTTTAATGGATTTTAATAGTATTTCATAGTGTATAAGTATTTATAGTGATTTTGAAAGAGGAGGTTTTTGTCCTTTTGTTTGTACAGTTTTCTCTTATGATTAACTTATCACTATAGATCACTTATATATTAATGTTGTGGCAGTCAGCGTGTAGAATGATGGATTTTTGCCAATGGTATGTTGTAAAATATGAAAGAATAAAAAAGTGCATTATTTTAATATGTGGAATTTTCTCTCTTTTCCAGTCGTACAAGCTAAGAATCTTTTTATGGTTGGAAATAAGCTGTGTAATTCCTACCTCAAGGTAAGCTGATGATCCTGTTTTACATTAATTTGTTAAAAGAAAAATTGCCAAGCTGTTTTTTTTTTATTTTATGTAAATTTTAAAACAATAAGACTTTTTAAACCATATCAACATCCAATTTGAATGAAAATGAAGATATGTTATTTTTCAGACATTAGTTGTCATAAGAAAGGTAAAATTGTGAACATATTCTATTACCCTAAGGCATCTCAAAAGATAAAAAAGAAAGAAAATTGAATATCTTGAGTCTGTGATATGTTAGAACTGATATGTCAAGTCGGTGCATATAGGTGAGATAAGTGGATTGTGTCAAATCAGGCAGATGTCTTCCACTTGAACATGCCTTGATGCACCTGCTTCTTTTAATTGATTCAGTGTAGTCCTTTCAAGTATCTTAGTCCATATTTCATATTGCCTGAAATTGTTTTACACTGTTGCAGTAGGTCCGTTATACTGACAGATGACAGATGAAGTCCTAAGGTGCCCCCTTCTGTGCTTGGTTAAATACTCTGAAAGAAAACAATAAGGGGTGTGAAACAATTTCAGTCTACCTTGTAAATATTTAATTTGTTCAAACTTGACTTACATGAAATGTCATGTCATGCACCCAAATAAAAAGAGTAATCCTAATTAGAAGTTCAGTGATGAGTTACATAAAAAAAATAATAAAAATAAAATAAAATAAAAGAACAATTTTTGATTTAAGGAGGCTTTTGTTAATTGTTTTGTTAATCTCTTTTAGATAACCTGTGATTATTATTATCCCAAAAACAAGTTGCATCATTTAAGACTAGGAAAATGGTACCCCTCTGAAAAAAAAAAGAGAATTTTTATGTGAAATGAAGATATAAGGAAATATATGTAGCCCTTCACTCAGCTGAAAATAAATCTTTGAAAATTTGATCAAAATTTCTCAGCACTTGATGAGTTTGAAACCTAATATAGAATATTAGAACTTAAAATGACCTCATGTAAATTTGTATGTTGTATTTTTCATTCCACTAACTCATTAAAAATGATTCAATGTTAAGTTCTTAATTGTTGATAACTTGATAAATATAATGTAAACCTGACCAATGTGGTCATTATTTTTTTTTCGACTCATTTATTTCCAAACAGCTCATTCCCAGCTAGCCTTAGCCTGATACATTTGAATCAAATGAGTGATAAATAAATCAAGAATTTTAAATTTCATATTCTAGGTGTGTTTAGTCAGTCGGAAGACAAAAAATGTACGAATTTAAGGCATATAAGAATATGAGTAGAAAAAAGTTTTTCCCTGAGCAACACCCTTAGTTTCATAGTACACTAAAAAGTATGACTCTCTACTATCCAGTATGAGAAGTGAGTGTCTAGTGTCCTCAGAACCTCAGGGTGCTCAGCATTGAATGAATTAACCCTCAATTTGCAATACTTCATCCTCTGCGCACAGTAGATCATGCTGCAGGCAGGTGGTGTGTGTGCTAAGTGCGACAAGACACCTGTCGCACTCTTTAACACTTAAAATAAGCAGTAGCGTAGACAATTACGGGGACAATTCGTGGGGCATTTTAAGTACTGTTATCACACAGGTGGTATAGACTGTATATTAACAAGCACTATGGTTATATAAATGGATGTTGTAGAATATACTAATATTGATTGCATAACATCCTGCGTAACCCTGCAATGAAGTCAATAATGGCTGACTGAAATTTTGTTTTAAAAATTGTATTACTTCATACAGAGTCATGCTGTAGTGTATATAGAATACAAGGTGATGAATAAATATTTTAAAAGTTTATAATTATCTTAAAATGATTTGAAATGTGGTCATGATAGGGTCTAATCAGTTTTTACTTAATGATTTCTACTGCACTCAGTTTTGGGTATTATATACATTTCATTTTCGCTTTTTAAGTAATGGGGTATGTCAGAAATCATAGCATCTTATCAAGGAATTACCAGCATGTCCATATAATAAGCACATCAAAATTGAATTACATATTATATCACTTATTTTTAAGATTTATTTTAAAGAGTTGTGACTGTAAAACAAAAACATTAGTATTCAGTCCATAAATAACTTACAAAAAATAAACAATAGCATAAAATGAGAATAGCATCCTGTTGCAGTGGTCATAGTCTATTTATATCATCTGTGTAATCATATATTCATACTATAAATATTTGCTGTATGTAAACAGATATACTTTTATTTCTTATTATTGTATCACAGTTGTGTCTGGTGCCAGATGAAAAGAAGAGAACACAATGCAAGACCAAAATAATAAGGGGAACCAACAACCCAAAATATGATCAAAGGTTTTCATTGTAAGTATTTTTTTATATATTTCATTTTTGAATTGTAAGTATTTGAATGAGACTTAGTAATTTATTTTGAAATAAAAAGAATTAAGCATGTTAGTTGAAGAAAACATTTGGATTACCAAAAGTGATGGTTACTTGAAGATTTTTATATTTATTTTTCATTTGCCTTCTGAAAAAAAACATTCCTTTGCTTAATTTATTAATCAAAGCCAAATAATTAAGGTTTATTCAGAGAAAAATACAAATCTTTGATCTTTGATTTTTCCCAATATTTCAATATTTATTAAATTTTAAAGAAGTTGAAATAAATTGGTGTGCTAGTATGTGTTCAGAAATACATGGCAGTTAATGATTTTAGGTGACTTTTAGTAAAGGGTCAACTAGAGGCGATGTCTAGCTAATTACTGTCATATCGATCTTTAATTACCATTGGCAAAGCTTGCTTTATCGGAAATGTGGAGGAACTCTAGGTACAACACGGCAGACAGGTTGTGCCTCAACATGTTAGGGGAGAGACTGATGGTAAATCTTGTCACTTATCCTCGTTCACATATTGGGGCAGTGATAATGATATCTTTGTTGAACTTCTAAATTTGTAATAAAAGCTGAAGGTTAGATTTTTTAATTGACCAATTATGTTTCAGTCTGCTAAATTGTGAATCTGATATTATTTTATATGTGATGTTTAAGGGCTACCACATGCATTACAAGAATTTCTAATCTGATTTTCTTTGTACTCCCCCGGGACTTTCCTCTGCCCTGTTTACTGACCCTGTTACCTGCATTCTGTCACAACTAAGTAAACAAAAAGACAGCAGGTAACACCCATCATGTTCAGCTGTTTTAATCTCAGTCTTGTCCCATAGCTCTCCCCCCTTAATCTTCACCCCGAGTACCACGCTTTAACACTACATTTCACTTCCATATCAATATGTTATGATCCATTACACTCTCAGAGTATTATTCCACAGTATTGTCCCCACCCGAGGGTGCAAAGGCCCACCATTGATCAATTGTTGTCTTAAGCATGCCTGGTGTTTTCTGTATTCTGGTAACCATTCAGCGTGCCTTTACTCACACTCGGCTGTTTACATTGGCTGGTTTGGGTGAGTGGGTGAGGTACTTTGCATACTACATTTTGTTGTGTACTCTAACAGAGTCCTTTTTCGTGCCATGCTATTTGCTACAGTCTACCCCTATGAGTTGACTTAGGAATACCGCGAAGGATGCTGAGGCTGGGGTATTTATGAGAGAAAAATTACACTGGATGTGTTCCCTACAGTTTGGGTTAAACAATAAGGTAATTGTGACTTAAAGTATTACTCTATTCTTTGATGTGAAATGCTTGAGCCACTGACTAGCATTCACACCTCAACTGTGTGGGAAACATGTATTAAGAAATTGGGAATTTTTATGAGTGAAGTTCTGTTGGAATTACTGCTGAGTTAAAATTGGGTTTATCTTGAACATGTAATTTTGACCCAAAGTTATCAAATTTCATCTGTGTTCCTACTGTGACACAAAAGAACGCTTTGTGTGGCAATTTGTCCTTCAGAGTGCTATAGTTGATGGCTCAAACTGTGCAGGGAAAAAAGTTTGAATTTTTTCTCACCCTGTCTATGTGATGTGTGACGGGAGCTCAAGATTTAAATGTTGTGAGTGGATATTTTGAAGATGTATATATTCTTCGCTGTTTACTAGAGAACTTTACACTCATTTCATTCAGTTTTGGCTATGGTAAGTGAACCTTCACAGCTGAAGCTTTCTCACTGATGTTATTATGCTGTTTAAGAGGGAGAGATCACAACATGGGTGAATGAAGACTGGATAAAAAAAACTATAGATCTTAAGGTGTATTAAGGTATCCTTGGAGGGGGGTGGGGGGTGGGAGAGAGACAGTTCCAGAATAAATTAATACCAGACTAAACTGTATATATGGCTGCCAGGGTCGCTGCACTTAGACTAGGCATAACAATAGAGGCATTGTCAAGTTTAATATCTTTGGTTTCACAACAGACAGGCCAAGCAGTGCTATATATGACACTTTAACATGTGCTTTAGTGTGGAAGTGTGTGGATCACAACATGGACTAATTTGTAAGCACTAACAGGTAGGATTTGATGGGTATTGATGCAGTTACTGTGTTGCTCAAACATTGAATTAACTGACTGTGTTTCTCTCTCTCTCTCTCTCTCTCTCTCTCTCTCTCTCTCTCTGTGTGTGTGTGTGTGTGCACACACTTGTAGGAGGGCAAGAAAATGATAATATTTTCACCAGACAGTTCTTTATCATGATTATATTGTTTACTTACTTATTCTATCTTGTATTTGATATCCATTGATAGGCAATTCATTTAAGGTTTATAGTTTCCTTTTGTACAGTAGGAGAGGGTAATATAAGTCACATGGTGTGTGGATGGGGGTGGGGGTGGGGCTAGGTCAGCTAGGTGGATATGGTTATATAGTCCAAAGTGTGTTTTTGGGTGGGTATTAACATATAATACTACTTAGTAAGGGTCACTGGGGCGAAGAAGGCAGTACTGTGCGGTGTATGTTATCACAGTTGCCAATTGTTTTAGATTACCAGAGACAGGCCCATATGGTGGTGGTTTATAGTGCCTCTCATCTACACTGAAGTCTTGGACTTTTGCATTTCAGGAATGATAAAACACCTGCAACATTTATTCATATCAGTGAAGTTGATGCCCATGCTCTTCACTGTGTATGTTATATTCCTCTCCTCTTCTCGGTGACTTGAGCTAGGCTACAGTGCTGATTTTTACTTTCCTTTTAATTTTTTAATTAGTGTCACATTGCCTTTTGCATTAATATTCCAAATTTTCAATTTTGACAGATCTTTCTGATATCAACCTATTCATTCATTGATGGAGGCACACTGGTCTTTAACAACAGGGTATTATGTCGACACACCAATGAATTTAATTGCAAAAAAAATTCCTGTCTTTTATATTCTGGTACATTAAGTGGGTCATTGAAATGGCTATGAAAAGATCAAACAATGCATGCTCATGTTTAATTTCACCTTTTGTATCCTCACCCAAAGAAAAAAAGAGAGAAAAAACAGAAGTCCAGTAAGTAGTACATAATATATTATGGTGGAATACAGACCCAGTATAGGAGTTCTATATGGCTCTGTCTCAGAATTTTTTTTATCTCTCAGAAAATTTAAGGCACCTGTATGTTCCCTGTTGAAATTAAAGAAGAGAAGCTGCAAGAGGAAATTTTATTGTGTATTGTGGTTTTTGCCTATTAAAAGTTATGATGTTGACTCAATGCACTTTCGTAGGGAAAATGATTTATTGCTTCCTGTATATGTATGCACAGGGTTGATTTTTAGGCAAAAGGTCAACATTTTTGAGTGTGACAATTAATCCAAGGCAAATCATGCCTACTTCACAGCCACAATGCAAACTCTCACATAAAACATTCAACGTGGTTTTCATATTATAAAGTCTTATCGATGATATTTTCTAGTAACCTCTAAACACCTTTTGCAAACTGAACCCAGTTTAAATATATTTAAGGCATATTACAGTGCTTGCTGAATAATAAAGTTAAGTGGTGTGGGTAATGTTTGCCAGCCTCTTGACAAGTTGCTACAGAAATAAATTTCCAATAAAATGCCCCCGAGTTTCAGAGTTTGGCGAGGTTTACAGTGACATGATTAAACAAGTTATAAATTACCAGTAATCTTTGAAACTGGGGGTGTCATTGGAAACAACAGAGGCATGCTGATGACAGAGGTGACAGTTATCAGTGGCCTCTGAAACTCAGGGTTCAGCAAAGTGACAAACAGGAAGCATGTAATATCTATGTACTGGAATTCAATCTAATATTCCTCTTATTGATTTTGATGGTTATGTTGAAAGGAATATATATGCCCTGCAGCTGTCTGTCAATATAGCCATGTGCATGATTCTGCAGGATTATCAATACCTTATTACAGTAATGCCAAGAAAAGGTCTCTCGTAAATACCCTTACAGAATTCCAATTTTTCTGTGACCATGTACATTATGACAAATTGGCCCTTCTTTTGTTAAATTGCTTTGGCATAACCACCTGTCAGAAACAATCATTGAATTTAGATGTATAAGAGTTTCTTGCAAAAACAACTAGTTACTGTATGACTNGCTAGGTCAGCTAGGTGGATATGGTTATATAGTCCAAAGTGTGTTTTTGGTTGGGTATTAACATATAATACTACTTAGTAAGGGTTACTGGGGTGAAGAAGGCAGTACTGTGCAGTGTATGTTATCACAGTTGCCAATTGTTTTAGATTACCAGAGACAGCCCCATATGGTGATGGTTTATAGTGCCTCTCATCTACACTGAAGTCTTGGGCTCTATTCCCATAGATTTTAGATCGATCTATCCCGGCGGGGAGTCTCACCAGATTATTTTCAGATAATCCGACTTAAATGTCCGTCCCGCCTACTACAAGCTTTAAGGGGGTAATTAACTTTCGTGTCCGCCCGGCTGACAGCTATTTAGCGTGAACCCCCAGGGAGTTAGGTCGATCTAAAGTAGGTCGATCTAATCTATGGAAATGGGGTGTTGGACTTTTGCATTTCAAGAATGATAAAACACCTGAAACATTTATTCATATCACTGAAGTTGATGCTCTTCACTGTATATGTTATATTCCTCCCCCCTTCTCGGTGACTTGAGCTAGGCTACAGTGCTGATTTTTACTTTCCTTTTAATTTTTTAATTAGTGTCACATTGCCTTTTGCATTAATATTCCAAATTTCCAATTTTGACAGTTCTCTCTGATATCAACCTATTCATTCATTTATGGAGGCGCAATGGTCTTTAACAACAGGGTATTATGTTGACACACCAATGAATTTAATTGCAAAAAAAGTTCCTGTCTTTTATATTCTGGTACATTAAGTGGGTCATTGAAATGGCTATGAAAAGATCAAACAATGCATGCTCATGTTTAATTTCACCTTTTGTATCCTCACCCAAAGAAAAAAAGA